AGAAGAAGAAGAAGAAGAAGAAGAAGAAGAAGAAGAAGAAGAAGAAGTTGTTGTTTCATGTATCAGTACATTGGCATATTTCTACAAAATAGCCAAAAATGCTAGTGATGGCCACAAGAACTCAAAGAACAAAAGTCACTTTGTCAGACTTCAAAACTCAGTTTGTATTTGCTCTTCTATTCTTACCTTTCCAAAAGCAATACGTTCTGTTAGGACAATTTTCTGAACATTGCCAAGTTTGAATAGCTTAGTTTAGAAAAAGATATCATTAGTAAATTCTTATTTTGCTATCAATATAATATAAGAGGTACAGACATCAATCTGTATTCTCTGATTTGCAGCTCCTCAGCAACCTTAGAGTATTGCTTAAAGTGACTTGCAGATGAGGAAAATTCCTCCTCCATAGAGAAATGCTTTCATGAATGTTGCTGAAAGTGGCTGTTGTGCCCCTCTCATGGGAAGTGAGTGCACACAGAATGCAGACAGAGCATGATGGTATTTCACTGATTCTTTGCTAGTGGAAGAGGGACTCAGGTGATTCTTGTACCATTTGTCAATGCACCTTTGGTCCAGTCTGGCCCCAGGACTTGCTCTTACTGAGTCTTCTGATCCTGTGTTCTTATGTCCAAATTGTGGCATAGACAGTCTTAGCAGTGAGGCATCAATTAAAAATGAGCAGCAAAAGGAACTAAATTGCCCTAAATTGCCTCTTGGCTTTTAGTTTCAGTCGTTCTGTCTGGAGAGTGTTTCTGTCCAAGCAGTTTTATTTCCAACAGTTCTAGAGCAAAGTCAAATACATTAGCTCTAAATATGTTGCTTTATGGTCATCTTTTTACGAAATAGAATAATAATGGCCAGTCTTCGCGAACGAAGATTTTGGGAAAGGTCTTTTACCTTTCCAGCCTGCGCAATGGATTTTTTAGGTGAGACACAGCATGCGCTGAACTGAGTCCACCCTTTAATCCTAAGGTTCATCTGCCGGGGCCAAGCAAGCTTGGACAATGGCAGTGAGGTCCTCAGGACGTAGGTTTTGTTTAGAGTGACCTTCTCATAGATGGATGGCCTCACAGGGCTAACGAGCTCCATCTGCCCGGGGGACTGGGATTCGAACCTGGGTCGCAGTGGTGAGAGTCCTCCATGCTAACCACTAGGCCACCAGGGGTCCCATGAAATAGAATAGTATAGGGAAAAAGCACTCTATCTGGGGACAGAGGAGGTGAACTTTTTGCAACAGTCCTCTGTCACTCAGCAGCTTGAGTGGTTGTGTTATTTGCCATCACTCCCTCCACCCAGTATAGGAAAGGAACCCAAATTCTCATCCTAGACTGTGGATGGAAGTGGACTGTTCTTTGTCAATGAGTGAATATGTGTGCCTGGGTAGGGGTCCTTGTTAAACACCCAGAGCAGACTTAGTCATAGGCAGCTGGGCCAAGGAAGGACTGAGGGCTCAACTGACAAGGATAAGAGTGGAAAGAGAATGTA